GATGGAAACATGTCATTGAGGAGATTTTATTGTCTATCATTCATCACCTTTTCTGTTTCCGGCAGGAAGCTGATCTACGGCCCGAATGAGATTAGCGTTCCAGTGAAGTCATACGGGCAGCTGCTGGTTGAGGAGGTGAGCGCAGTGGGCGGGGCCTGTATTTTTTATTGGTGGTTATAATTGCTGCAGGGTCCCCGTAAATAATCATGTCACCCTACAAAGTATGGCCAGCCTCCTCCCACCGCGCCCCGTGACACTTCTGTACCTACCAGAGGTCCCTGTGATTACCATACTCTGACCCCGCCCCCGGACAGGAGCCATTGTGCTGGAGGTTTGGCAGAGCTCAGAGTGAGGGATGTCATCATTTTATAAAGCACGTTGGGGTCAGGAGCTCCCAGGCAACATGAGGGATCTCTAGAGAAGTCAGAAAACTCCATCCAAATGGTGTGTGGGCTTAATGAAGACAAACTTCCACTGAGCTCCACCCGCCCCCCCCCTTCTGCAACTCATTACCTCTGTCTGCTCTCCTTCCAGGTGCTGAACCCATTCTACATCTTCCAGATCTTCAGTGTGATCCTGTGGCTGTGCGAAGCATATTATTACTACGCCGTCTGTATCATTATCATATCCATTATCTCCATCTCTGTGTCTCTGTACGAGACCAGGAAGGTGAGTACCCGGATTTCAGGGCGGTGGGCAAGATATGAATGGCCAAATGCGGGGGTGGAGATCTGAGTGACCAATCTCAGGAGTTTTCCAGGGAGGAGAGCTGGGTGACCAGGTCTTTGGGGAGTGAGAGCCAAGTGGGCAAGTCCCTGGGGGTGAAGAGCTGAGTACCCAGGTCCCCAGGCGTGGAAAGTGGAGCCCCAGGCATGGAAAGTGGAGTACCAAGGCTCTCAGGGAAGAAGAGCCAAGTGCCCAGGTTCCCAGGGGCGGGGAGACAAATTCCCAGGCAGAGTGCCAAGATTCCCATGGGAAGAGAGTTGGGTGACCATGTCTTTGGGAGTAGAGAGGCAAGTGGGCAAGTCTCTGGGGGAGAAGAGCTAAGTGCCCAGGTTCACGGCATGACAAGTGGGGTAGCAAGGTTCCCAGGGAAGAAGTGCCCAGGTTCCCAGGGGAGGAGAGCCAAGTGCCCAGGTTCGCAGGGGAGGAGAGCCAAGTGCCCAGGTTCCCAGGGGAGGAGCGCCAAGTGCCCAGGTTCCCAGGGGAGGAGAGCCAAGTGCCCAGGTTCGCAGGGGAGGAGAGCCAAGTGCCCAGGTTCCCAGGGGAGGAGAGCCAAGTGCCCAGG